ATAACATAAAAATATTAACATTATTATTAATTTATTGTTTTTTTATATTTTTAAATAAATAATTTTTAATTTTTAAAAAATAAAATAATAAATAAAAAATATTAAATTAAAAAAAAACTATATATGGCAAACTATATATATTATATATGTAATAATTTTATAAAAAATAAATTATAAAATATATAATAAAAAAAAATCTAAAAATTATATTTTTTACTAATTTTTGCAAATTTTTTAAATTTTATTAAATTAATTTTACATTCAATTTAAATTTAAAAAAAAAATGACATATGTAAAACCTATTAAAACAAAAATGTATTTTATTTTTTTCAAGTCACTGATATCTTAAATAGATATTAAAAAATTATTATCTAAATCATACTTTCCATTATATGAAATATTAAAATAAATTTTAACATCAAAAATTTAGAAAAAAATAATTAAATATTATTTAGGTTAGGTTTCAAACTAATTTAGATAATTAATAAAAATAAATTTCTGAAATTATATATAATTATAAATATAAATATTATACAAATATTTTATTAAATGATAATTAAAAAGAAAAATTTTATTTTTTCAAATAATCAAAAAAAATACTATAATATATAATTATGATACCTGCTCGGTTTCAATCTCATCATAATTAATTTCTTCTACAAACTGCTGCTGATGGCTTACTAACTCTTTATCCGCCATCACACACAGTTAACATCACATTAATTTCAGGGTACATTTAATTATCGAGCGTATTTATCGTAACTGAGTATTTGTTTAAACTTGAGCTCAAGCTCCTTTGATATTTTCCATTTTATTAATATTTAGAAGACATATGTAACAAGAAAATTACATCAATCGATATTCGTAATTCGATGTATCGATTTATCAAAATACGATCCATGTTTATAAAAGAAAATAACAAATATAATTAAATTTACATTAACAAATATAAGAAATGAATCTTTTTCATTTAGTTAAAATATATAATTAAAATACTGAAGAAATTATAAAAATAAATAAAAATATATATATATATATATATATATAATATCTATATATATATATTATATTATATATATCTATGTATTATAAGTACATAAATTACATAAAATATTAAGTAAAAACATTTATTATAATAAGTATTTTGCTTAAATTTTTCTTATAAAATATGCTATTCAATTATAAATTTTTTTTATATATTATATATATATATATATATATATATATATATGTAATAACTTTATTCATTAAATTACATACATAAAATAATACAATACAATACAAAATTATTATAATTTAAATAATTTAAAAAATTTATATTTATAAATAACGAATTTTATTTATTTATTACAACTTTTATTTATTTTATATAAAATTTAATTTTTTACATTTCATATTACATTCTATTGATTTAAGATCTATGATCTAAAGAAAAATTCATTTTCATTTTCATATTTATTTTTTAAATATATTTTAAAATTATAGTCATATATATAATTCTATAATTGTAATACACATATTATAATATTTAATTTTATTATCTATAATTCATTTACAAAATTATAAAAGTTAAAAAAAAAATATAATTATTTTATGATATAATATAATAATAATAATATCATTAAAAATTATTATATATGAAATAAAACAAAAATTATTCAAAAATATATAAAATAATTTATTAGTAATAATGAGATACTTTCTATATCTAATAAGAGATTATTAATATTTACTATTTATTAATTGAATCTTAATTTAATATATTATTACGTAAAATCTTTTATACTACTTATATACATATAAATTATATTTTATAAACGACTTATAATATTAAAAAAATTATATATAAAATATAATATGAAAATATATATAATATAATAATTTTGTTTATTAAAAAAATTAATTTTAATGATAATTTGTTCGAAAACAATAGAATATTACAAAGTATAGCATAAGTAGTAATATTGCGTAAGTAATAAATTCTGTCCTGCATAAGGATTTGTGTGACATGGCACCAATCACAGTTCGTAATTTTTTAATTTACACTCAAAATTGTTAAGCTAATAAATTTTCGTCGCTAGTAAACAATTGTGCAATCACTTCTAATTTAAGTGAGAACATTGATAAAATTTGATTTTATAAATATTCGAGATGTTTTATAATTATCAACTGTGAATCAATTTCTTTTCAAAATGGCAGAAAATCTTTCCAAACGGCCCCCCAAGGGAATTTTAAAATCATCTAGCTTTGATAAACCGGATTTACCCAGGTAAATGATTTTACACATTTAAATTGATTTCATTAAAATCATAATTTAATTTATATAAGTACAAATATGTTTAAAATGGAGGTTATTTTTTTGTAACTAAAAATTACATGAATGAAAGATATAGAAAGAGAGAAAGAGATGACAATAGATTAAACTTAATATTTTAAGGTTATGTTAATTCATTTTTTTTTTATTATTTCTACTTTTGATTTATTCAAGTCGTGTCACGATTAATTATTTTAATTATAAATTAGTTTCTTTTCATTAATTTATTTTTATTTAAAAATTTTAATATTATTATAAAATTATAATAATAATATTATTAAATAAATTTTATATATATATAAAATGAATTAAGTATAATTTATATATTATGTAATATTAATGAATTTTTTCTTTTTATTATATTTTTTTTTTATAATATTGTATTAAATTGAAAATTTAAATTATAATCAATATTTTATCAAATATTATTACATAATTAGCAATGCATTATACTTAATTTTATATAATAATTTTATATTTAATTTATATTTTAATATTATAACTATTAAAAAATAATTTTTTATTTTATATTTATTATAGATCAAACAAAGAAACAAAATGGGATGAAATGAATATAATTGCAACATTGCATCCACCAGGAAAAGATTATGGCCATATCAAGATTGATGAACCAAAAACTCCATACAGCTATGAAGGCCTGCCCGGTGAATTTGAATTTGATGAATTAGATTCTGCTACAATTGCTGCCAAGTAAGTATTTATAATAATTCATTATATTCATTAAAAAAAGTTTTTGCTCTATATTTCTAATTATTTTTATAAATAATATTTTTATGCTATTATTTTTCAAAAATATCATCTTCAACAATTAACCACAATTAATATTAATAACAGCAATCAAAGAATATTATTTTCATATTTACATCCAGTTATTTTTATAAATAACATCTTTATTGCATAATTAAAAGATTTATTATCTATAAACTTTATAATTTTGCATAAATTTAAATTACAATATTACATATAATTATATAATATAAAAAATATCATTCATTGTCAACAATTAATAATAAATAGAATTAATATTAATAGCAATCAAAAAATACTATTTATAATTGAAATAATATATTAATTTAATATATGCATTATACAATATCATGTATAATATATATATATATATATATATATATATATATAAAAACACGTGTACACACACACACACATGCGCGCGCGCGCGCACACATATGTATACATGTGTATGAATATTTTTAAAAAATAATTAAAGTTATTATTAAAGTTATTATTAAAATAATAATAATTATATTAATAATAAATTATATATCATATAAAATTTCAAAAATTAAAAAATCATTTTAAAAAATTTAAAAAAAATAACGTGTTTCAATAATAATATTTTTTATTAATCATGCTGTACCTACAAAAAAATTGGAATATTTATTTAATATTTAATATATCATAAATTTATCAATTTAATTATTTTATTTTATAAAAAGTAAAAATATATTAAAATAAAATATATAATGCTTCAAATAATAAATGTAAAAATTAATTAAATAAATTAAATATAAATCGATGAATTTATATTTTCTTTTTTCTTAAGCAATAAAAATTATTTAGAAAGATATTTATAAATATTTATAAAGATATTATAAATATATAAATTTTACTAAAATATCCATAGAATAAATTATAATTTAATTTGATTGTTATTTATAATTTCATTTTTTTTTTTTTTTGCATTTTTTTTTAAATTTTAAAATATATTTCTTTTTAAGTTCAATCAGTCTAATTTATACTATCTGTTTAGAATTTTATACCAGGATTGGCTTAAATGAGGAAGCTATCAAATTTAAATTATGCAACTATTCTCTACTAAGCAGCAGCATCTCCATGTAGGGTATAATATTGTTACATACATAATGCTGAACTATTGATGTTGGAGTTGAATATTAAGAATAAAATGAGGGTATGCAAATGTATGTAGAAATTTGATGTTGATTTATTCTTTTTATTGGAATAAATCTTCATTGGTAAGTTTTAGTGCTCTTCAAAGTATACATTTGCTATTTTTGCTTCTCAGAGTTGTCTCTTGATTCCTTTATTATTTTCAGTAATTCTACACAAAAAGAGGTACTTGTGTGGAAAATTGCTTCAATTCCTCAGAAAAATGTTATTTAAATTTCCAAAATTCGGGTAAACAGGATCAATTTTTAAGATGGTTCTATATTTGCAAATACTATGATCAAACAGTTTTAATCGAATATATATGCACCAAGAAACATACAAAGTGTTTTGGAAGGTATGTAACATCCCGAAGTCAAAAATTACATGAGATATAGTTATAATATTATTTTTGAATTATTAATTATTATTAATTGTCAAAATTGTATGAACATATATTTAAATACTTTTTATATGTCATACATTTTTGGCATTAATTTTTATAATTTATATGAATTTTTTAAATTTAATAAAATTAAAATTATTAAATTTAAATATTTTAGAAATAAAAAAAGAATAATGTTCGTGTGCATGCGTGCGTGCGTACATATTGCGTGTGTGCGTGTATAATGTGTGTATTTTATTTTAATGTTTTAAAGTAATTTTAAAATAATAATTTTCCAATTAATATAATAAAATATGAAATCAGATATATATCTATTTAAAATGGACGATAATGTAAAATTAATTAATATAGAAAATTTACTTCTTGTAAATATATAATATATATAATATATATATGGAATTCTATATAACTTAGAAAAATTATATTATTTTAAAAATATTATTATAAAAAATATTATTTATTTATAAAAATTTCGAAGAAATTATAAATATATAATTTAATATTATTTTTTAAAGTTATCAGTTAATCAATTTTAATGAATAATTTACATAAATTATATAAAAATTATATATAATTAACTTATATAATAATTTCTTTATTATTTTAATGTTAACTTCAAAAAAATTCTTTTTTTGATAATTTAATTTAATAATTTATTTTTTTCCAAAAAATTTTTCTATTCTATTCTTATTCAAACATTTAAATGGAATTGATATATAAAAAACAAATGTATTTATATATTTACAAGAAATATATTAAAATATTAATTAGTTTTTTATTAAAATAGATAATATATTAAAATGAAAATAAATCTTAGTTTATAAGATAATAAAAATTTATTAATTTTTTTAATTATTTATTTGTATCTATTGAAATATTTTTTATATTTTAAATAATAATTCATAAATTAATTATATTTTGTTTATTCATTTAATAAAATTTGTATTTGTAATATATATCAAAATAATATATGATATATATCAAAATAATATTTTTAAGAAAATATTATTAGTAAAATTATATTTGTATAAATTTGTATAAATGTATTATATAAATATAAAGAAGAATTTGAAATATAAAGAAGAAATATAAAGAAGAATAGTACAACTTTTGTACTATTTTGTTTTAAATAAGTAAAATTTTTTAATAACACACACATAAGTAATTATGTGCACAATATAAGTGCATATAATTATTAATCAAATTTACTGAATTTTCTTCTTAACAGTATATTTTTATTATTAAATTATTATAATAAAAAAATGATATAATGAATAATTTTTGCCTACAGATCAATTCTGATATAAAAAGCAAAATACAAAATAAATTTAAAATTCGTTTCTTTTAATTTTAACAAATCTTACTATCATTTATTATTTACTTATATAATTTAATTTCACTTCTTATATATTTATATTAGTAAATTTTTTTAATTTTATATTATTTTATGTGTGAAATAACAAATTATTATAAGAAAATTAAAAAAATTAAAATTATTTATAATTACATATATCTTACTTCGGAATGTTACATACCAGAAAAAAAATGTGATATGTACTTAAGAAATAATCTATGTACTTAAGAAGAATCTATTATTAATAAAAAAAAAATTGTTAAAAAAATAATATTATAAGATATTATAGTATGTTGATTTCAAAATGATTACTTATGAATAGTTTTATTGATATAAAAAAAAAATTAAATTAAAATTTTAAAAATATAGAATGAAAAGCAAATATAAATTTCTAATTATAGTAATTTTTATACATATAATATTTTACTATAATATTATAATATTATAATATTCTATCATAATATATAAACTTTATTATTTTGTGAACCTCATATAATATATCCAAATATTATAGATAATTATAATTTATTTGTCATATATATTTATAATCATTTTTGTTTATATATTTTTAAATTATCTTAAGAAAAAAGAATATAAACTTTTATTATAAAAATTTTTATAACAAAAACTTATATAATATATTATAATAAACTTTTATTTTATATTATTATATTCATCATAAATATATTTCACCAAAAAAAATTAAAATAAGTTTTTGTTAATAATACAAAATATTTAATTTCTTTAATAAAAATAATTCGTCTTTATATATTAAAATGAAAATTTTTTTCAATATTGAATAGATTTAATCAAATATATCTTATGTTTATACAAATTCAGTTTTTATAAGTACTTTTATTAATATTAATAAATAAAAAAATAATTAAATGGATTAAAATTCATAAATAATATATTTTTTCTTTTTTTTTTTTAAATTTTAATAGATTACATTTTTTATTGTTTTATTATTTTTTACAGATTGGCAGAGAGCAGTAAACCAAAGATATTTGAAGAATCAAGTGAAGATGAAGAAGAAACTGAAACTCTTGAAGAAAGAGGTAAGGAGTAATAAATTATACATTTTTATTTATATACATAAAATTTATATTTTAATTATTATCAATTATAAAGGCAATGTGTATATTTAAAATTTGATTATAAATTAATAAATTATTATTAACGTAATTACTTTATTGAAATAATAATTAATCTTAATTTTTATTAACATGATAATATTAAACACATTATAAAGAATAAATAATTTTAATTAATTAAAAAGAGAAAAATTTATTAAAATATGAGTAACAAAATAATTTCAATATATGTACAAAAATTTTAGAAAAACGTAAAGCATTTGAAGCAAAGAGAAAGCGTCATTATCAAGAGTGGCAAGTAGTTCAAATGGCTAGAAAACAATTACTTGAACAAGATGAGGAAGATGAAGATGAAGACAAGGAAGATAATGAAGAAAATGAAGAAGGCATACAAAAAGATGACAATATTTGTCTTCCTTCTGAAGAGCAAATTAATTTTAATGTTAAATTCAAATGTATGTCATCTTGTAATGTGAAAAAAGGAAAATGATATGGCGAAAGACACTTTTAAATAATGTTATAAATTACTTGATTAAAATTTAGAATTCAGTTATCTAACATTCTTAATTGATGTTAAATTTATTTACTATAATATAAAATTAAGAACTAAATTAATCAAATATAATGTCCATCTTAGATTATCTAAATAGTTAAGTCAATAAATTTTTCTAATTAATCGATTTTTCAATGATTTATATATTAATTAATGTAATTAATTACACAACGAATTTATAGTGAATTTATAATTAATTAATTGCGTAATTAATTGCAAATATATATGAATAAATAATTAATAATTACATAAGTATATAATTATTTATTTTCAACGTTTTAATAATTAAATATCTACTAATTAAATACTTGATTCAAATCAGTTTATTTAATTTTTTGTTTTTATTTAATTTTTTTGAAATAATATAGAATAATAAATACAAAATCACATGATTTCAAAGATATAAATAAATTTTTTTTTTTAAATTGATCGAACAAAATTATAATATTAGTTTTATTGATTATTAACTTTTATTATATTATCAAAAAGAAATAACTTAATTATTAATTATTTATATATTATTTAATAATAATTATTAGTTATTAATATTTTAATTCATAAATTGGTTTATTTATTTTCATATATATTTAACTATAGCGATTTTATTTTTTAATTTTTTTAGAAAAATTATGTACTAAATAATTAATTTTTCAATAGTTAATTAAGATAAAAAATATAAGCAAAGTTTTTTTTTACAAATTGTAGATTATTAACTTTTTAAATTTTTTAATTTATCATATTGTTTATTAAAATAGCAAATTATTAATATATAATTATTAATTATAAAATTATTATCCAAGTAAATATGTTTAAAATGTTACATAGCTAAAAAATGAGCAATTCTTAATGAATAATTTTTTTATTCATTAATAATTAATAACAATTATTTGTTATGATTGATATAATATAATTTTACTATATTTTATTAAATTATATAATAATAAAGTAAAATATGAGAAGAGAATTTTTAAATACAAAATATTGTTTTTATATAATATAAAATGTTCATACACACATATAATAAATTATTCTATTAAATTATTAATAGATATTATAATAAGACTTTTTCATTTTGTATTTAATTATATTTTACAATATACAAAAATATTCTTAAAACAGGGTTTCATAAGATGTATACAATGAATTAGAAATTTTGAAATTAGAATTTCATTTTAGACATTTTCACATTGATATCACATATTTTAATATATATATATTTTAATAATTATTTTTAATAATATATATATATATTTTTTTTAAATATTTTAAATATTGACATAATGTTTATAAATTTATTTCATGTTTATTACATATCAAAAATTTTCATAAATAAAATAAATGAAATTTTATTAACATCAAAGACCATAATGTTTCTATTAACATTAATATATTATATTATATTATATATACAATTATATATTGAAATATTAAAAATTGCAAAAAATAAAATTTAATAATACTATATTTTATCTATTATTAAGCGTAATAAATTTTTTAATTAATTTGTATTTATATATATCTTTTTTTAAATTTATTATATTACTTTATTATATATAAATTTAATTTTTGAAAAAAATATAAATATAATCAATGTGAATTTGTCTATTATAATATTATATATTCTTATATTTTATTTAACATCTTTATAAAGTTTATATAAAGTTTAAGTTCTTAAACTTTATTTTTTTCATATAATATACATTTTGATCCTCAATCAATAACCTTTATGTTTTTGTTTAAAATAAAATATGAAAATATTTTCATATATACATAAGAAGTTAATAATTAAATACTAATTAAGTTTGCAAGATACTCTTATCATATTTTATAATTAAATAAATAATTAAATTTTAATTTGAAAAATGCTACTTTTATAACAGATTTGTTTAAGTTTGGAATTTCCAAAAATTTATGGATCTTAATTTAAAAACTGCTAAATTATAAATTATAAACATATTCCTTATCACATAAATACCTCAAGCCTCTTAAATCTATGATTAAACATTGATATTATTTTTAAAATGAATTAGTTATTATATCTTCAGTTAAAATTTGCATTAATTTTTATTATTTATATATATTATATATAATATGTGTATATATATATACACATTATTATAATATATAAATATTTGAAATTTAAATAATTTTAAAATTTTTATGTAATATATTTTTGTAATGTAATTTATTTATTACAATTTAATAAATAAGATATTAATTTTATATATTTTTTCTAATATGATAATTTAATAACAAAATAATTATTATCTGAACAAATTTATTTTTTCAAAAATATTTTCTATGATATATAATAGATATTTTTATAAATTAAAAAAGAATGCTTAAATTGAAAATTAAAAATAAATTAGCTTTAGCTTAAAAACAAATTTCTGATTATTCCAGAATGTAAATATATGTATTGACAACGAATTTAATATTATTAATACTCAAATGTAAAATGCAATAAAATCATGAATCGAATACTATATCAAATACTTTTAAAAAATTGGTAATTGATATTAGTCTTAAAAATAATTTAAAGAAAGAAATAAAATTCAAAGAAAGTTTTGAAATAACAAACATTATAATTATAAATTTGCATAAATGACTTTCATTTAATGATATATAAATATATCAAAAAATTTCAATAGATTTATAAAATATATAAATATTCGATTCTTAATTTGATTGCACTATTCAACAAACTGCTATACTTTTTAAATAGAAAACTTATTTAAATAGAAAACTTAAATATACAATTTTGAAATTAGAGAAGAGATAGAAGAGGTCTTAATAGATAAATCAAGGATGAAGATAAATAATTATTTTATTTTAATTTAATTTTACAATATGAATATAAAATGTAAAAAAAAAACTATTCATTACTGCATTTATGCAATAAAAATATAATGCATCTGTTATATTATTGTTATAAAAATTTAATATTCCTTTATGTTGTGTTGAGTATTCAATATTTTCAAGAAAAATGTTTTATACATTATATAAAGACCTAATATGTAACATAATAGAGATTTAATGATATAATATAATATAATATAGATATAATATAGAATTTTTATTTTTATAACTATAATTTATTATTTATTTTTTATTTTTTAGTAAATCTCTAAAAATTTTTTAAAAAATATTTTCTATTTAAACAAATATTTAATAATGTTTTTTTTAATATTGCAACAAATTATAAGGATTATTAACAATTATATCAATTAATTTAAAATTAGATTTTCTATAAGTTGGATTAATCTAATCAATATATTTTAAAGATTTAAAAATGTTTGAATAAATCCTTTTCCATTATTATTAATGGATTTATATGATATGCATTATTTACATATTTATATTTTTTTTATATAAATTTAATTCATATTTATAAACTGTAGATATATTATATAAATTTGAGAACAATATATTATTGTTTCTCAAATTTAAAATTTGTTACAATATAATTGTTATTTAATTATTTAAATTAAACTTTCTGCAATAATTTTAATAATCAATTTTATTAGTATAACGAAACCATTGAAATATAACAAGTTATTTACATATATATATATAATATAATATTACTTTTTTTTAATTTTAAATATAATTAATTAATATATATAACAGTTAATTCATATTCAATATCATATTTATTATAATATATGCATACAATGCATGAAATACGTACAATAGTAAAAAATTAAATTTTTATATAAATAAACTAAATAAAATAATTTGTTTTATTTTAAAATAATTTTTCAATCTTCTTAAATTAATAATATTATAAATTATTAATTTAAAAATTAATTATTTATATATATTCAAATAAGTTAAGTCAATTTCTAAAATATTATTAAAATTTTCATAATTTTCAAAAATTTTAGAAAGTTATGTGAAATGATTCAAAATTTTTGTCACTTTATAGATTCGAAATAATTCGAAATATTTCAAATTTCATCACTATTTGTATTTCATTTGCATAATCAAATGAAAATCTTATATATGAATTCTGAAATATATATATGTTCTATAAATATTATGAAATATCATATTCTATATTCTGAAATATCAATCTCGAAAAAAGCAGAATATTTTTACTTTCGCGATTTACATTCAATTAACATTTATTGAAATCGATATTTATGTTATTTTATTTACAATTTTATAGTAAAATTAAATTTTTAATTTTTAATTTTATTTCTGGAAAAATTTTTTTGATAAATTAATAGATTTTAATAAATAGATTTAAAATATTAAAATTTTAACGTCACAGGAATACATGAAATCAAAAGTTAAGTATATTTAAAAATGTTTTAAATGCTTTATGTTTTCTTATTCTGCAATCAATGAAGAATCTTCTTGTTTCTGTAGTAGCAACATGTACATATTATAAACAATAAATAAATTTTAATTGAATGCAATTGAATTTGAAGTTATTATTCGTTTTTTTTTTTTTCAGATTCGTGGAATCCCAAGTTTGCTATGGATAGATACAAAGTGTATATATTCCGCAAAACATTGCGAATATTAGTTACAAATATTATATTACAATTACAATTATCTACAATATACATATGAATTCATTATGGAAGAAAGAAAACGAACTCTCTTCATTGGTTAAGGCAAAAGTGAAAAAAATTAATATCACAATCAATATAATTCGTAAAGCATTTTTAAATATGTATAATTTTTTATTCCATGCATTTCTTATATTAAAATTTTTGAAATTTGATTTTGAAATTTTTTTATCAATTTATAAAAAGAAATTTTATCAATTTAAAAAAATCTTTAAAATCTTATATTTTTAGAAATAAAGTTTTATCAAATTAAATTTTAATTTTAATCATTAATGTTAATAATATTTTACATTAAATCGATAATATTACATATAATACATATATGTAATATTATATGTACATACAATAATATTACATAAAATGGAAGAAAATTATATAATATCAATTTTTATGACAAAAAATCATTGCATGTTTATTTTACATAATTTATCCACGATACAATTTGAATTTTAAAATGTTCTCAATCGGTATAGTAGTTTATATTCAGAAAAATATTTTGTACTTTCCTATCTATAAAAATACTAAATATCATAATATGTAAAGTAAGTATCTATGTCATTTACTAAAAGATTAGTAATAATAATATAGTAATTTAATCACGTTTGCTAAATCGATAAAAATTTGTCACAGTTAAAGAAACAGTATCTACATCAGAAACAGTTAATATTGATGATTGTCATGTCAAATAAATTAAAATTTGAGTGACACTATTATACAGTAATTAATATTTTTATTTGTTGTATCTTTGCTGATAGAATCAGATTAATATTATTATTTAAATTATTTATTTTATAAATTTCATCATAACGGGTGCTGAACAGTCAATCATGTCCGTTTCTCAGATGGAGAGTATCCTTTTTTAAAAATTTTTTGCGCTTTTTATATTTTTTCAAATTTGATATTTATACAATTTTGATATTTTCATAAAAACTTTAGTATTTTTTCAATTATAATTATATTTATTTTTTTTAAGTATTATACTAATTTATATTTGAGAAATTTTAAAATATATTCAATCTTTGTTTTTTAATTTTATTAAATATATTTTATTTATTATCTGTTTTAAATTTTAAAAGTAAAAAATAATTATTTTAATATAATTTTAATAAATTTATTAAAAAACTTAAAAAGTTATTTTTTTAAAATTATATATAAAATATTTTTATGACAATAAATATTACATATATACATAAATTATTACACAAATATAAATTTTTTGTATATACAAAATTTTATTAACAATGTATTGAGATGAAAATATGATATAATATTTTCCTAAATTAATATTAAGGAAATTTATTCAATCTTAAATTTGCTGTAAAAGAATTAGAGAGAAATTCAAAAAAATGTGAGAAAGAAGAAAAAGTAGAAAAAACAAAAATAAAAAAAGCTATTCAAAAAGGTAATATGGAAGGTGCACGTATTCATGCAGAAAATGCAATTCGTCAACGTAATCAAGCACTTAATTATTTGCGAATGAGTGCAAGAGTTGATGCAGTAGCTAGTAGAGTACAAACAGCTTTAACTACACGAAAAGTTACTCAGTCAATGGCTGGAGTAGTTAAAGCCATGGATGCAGCAATGAAATCAATGAATTTAGAAAAAATATCAGGTAATAAAAAAATCTATATTATATATGAAAAATAAATGTTATACATACATATATATATATATATATATATATATAATTAATGATTAATATTTAATTTTTTATGACATTCTATGGTATTTGATAAGATAAATAAACACATTAATCATATATAGCATTTTTGATAACAATAATTTTTTTTTATTGATAATGAATATCAAAATTAAAATATAATTTCTATTTTAGGTTTAATGGATAAATTTGAAAGTCAATTTGAAGATTTAGATGTACAAAGTTCATATATGGAAAATACTATGTCTCAAACTACAACAACCAATGTTCCCCAAAATGATGTTGATTCTTTATTACAACAAGTTGCAGATGAAGCTGGGTTAGTATTGATTAATTTTAAAATTATTTTTGTGAAAGATTATATAATTATAAAATAGAATTTTATATATATATAAATATCAAGAAACAATATTATTATTACTATTAGTTTTAATTTAATTTTTTCTGTATATTAATAATATATATTATTTATATAATATATATTATTTAATACATACTATTTTTTTTAGTCTGGAATTAAATATGGAATTACCATCTGGACAATTAGGTAATATAGGTACTTCTACTATCAGTCAAGAACAAGATGAACTCACACAGCGATTAGCAAGACTTCGTGAATAGTATTACAGATATAAAATCAAACAGAAGTACATAATGAGAAAAATATGCTTATTTACTATTATTTACAGTAATTTATTAACTTTATATTATTCTTATATTTATTCTCTTTATATTATCCTGTAGGTACTTGCTAAAAGTAATTATTGTACCATTAGTGCCTATATGCTTGGTAATTACTCATTATATATTATTAATATTTTTTTCATAATAATTAATTTGAAAATAACTACAATAACTAAATGATTTGTACTATTGAATTTATTTTTGAGACAAAATATGATTTTTTTAATGCATAAATCATATTTATTCTTCAAATCGTTTTACATACAGAGATTGTTAATACTATAACTCATTTATAAAGATCAATACATAAAAAGTTAAAAGAAAATGCATAAAAACATTTTTTACAGATATATTTTATTATTTAAAAAATATATATATTTTTTTTATTCATTTATTTCGAAAAAAATTGTTTAATAATAATATAAAAAAATGAAATGAATAAGATTAAATCTATTAAATATTTTTATTTATTCATATATGAAACACATACATTGTTTGATAAATGTAGGTATTTATTTAACATTAAAATTATAATACTATTAAATTTTATACTAATTGAAAATTATTACAGTTTTAAAATTAATAATTTTCTAAAATCTATAAATTGCAGTAATATTATATATGTAACTATTTTATTTATATATATTTCTTTAAAAATATATATTTACTATTAGGAATATTTATAAACAATAAAGTAAAAAAATTACATTTTAATATACACTTATATATTCAAAATTTATTTAATTAAAAGATTTTAAACCATAAAAAAAAATATTATTATTTTAAAAAATATATAACTAATTTTTCAAAATATTGCAATTTTAATTATAAATAATAAAAACATTCTAGAACATAAATAAGAATATAATTTTCCATGATAGCATTTATCATACACAAAATCTATTATATATTTGTTTTATAAAAATAAATTTATATAATAAATATATTATTTAATATTATATTTCTATACAATTAATTATAATTAACTATAGTTTTCATAGTTTTAGTTATAATTTTCATCATTTTGTAAAGCATAATAAGGATACTTTTCTATCCAAATTGTGTCAAAAGGTTCAGCCTGTTTCAATATTACAACTTTTTCTGCATGAAATTCTAAATATTTAAAATAAAATTAATTTTACAAAGAAAATTAATAAATATAAATATAAAAAATAAATTATATTTATATTATTATTATTATTATTTAATTCAAAAATCCTGATTTTAATGAAAAATTGTGTTATATAGAGCATAATATCCTTATATATGAATTATATTAAAATTTGATTTATAAAATTTTTTTTATTAATCACTTTACAAAAATGAAATTAACTTTTAAAGTTTGAATATCTTTTCATTTTGAATATTATTTTAAGCAGGGATAAAAAAATTATTTTTGTATTCTACATACATATAAACTTTTATTAAAATCAAGATTTTTAGATTAAACAAATTATTCTTTGTTATTTCTCTGTAAAATAAGTTCCTATATATATATTCTATTGTTATAGAATATATAATTAATTAATGAATATTATAATTATAATAATTAATTGAAATTTACCTAAACAATATTGAAAAGCACATGCAGCATCAATTTTATTATAACTTTCTGGTGAAATTAAATCATGAAATTTTATTAATATTCCTTCATTCCAATGTATAACCATTAATGCCAACAATTCTCTTTTAGTCAAATATGTTTTTGAACTATAACAAAAATAAATATAATAAAAAATATAATAAAATATTAATAAAATGTTTGATTATCTATTGTTATAATATATATAATAAATAATTGTCTCTCTAATAAAACTATAATTTGCATAATTAAAATTTATTTTTTCTTAAAGAAAAATTAGAAAGAAAATTAGAAAAATTAGAAGAAAAAAAAATTTTACTTTTTTTTAATTAAAAGATTTAATATAATCTTTAATATTAATTATATTACAAATTCCTTTCTAAAAAATTTAGAAATTTATATTCTATAAAATATGTTTTAAAATTAAAATTAAAATATTTACGAAACTAAATAAATAAAGAATTTTACCTAATTTTCTCTTCAAAACTTGTAATCTCGGAAATTAAAACTGCTTCAGATTCTTTTATTTCTTTTGTTTGCTCTTCAAATTCTTTTACTTCAATACTCTCTATTGGAAGTATCTTATCTAATGTCTTAGATACATCAATCGTTTCAGTTGTAGCAATCATAATTTTACTTGATAATTCAGTTATTTGATCTCGTAATCGACTTGAATCATCTGCACGAATAGTTTCTCCAACTATTAAAAAAAAATTAAAATTTCAAAAATCAATTTGTGTTATATAAATAAATATACATGTTTTTATCTTAAAAATCACCATAGATCAATAATAACTTCATTTATGAATAATTGCATTTTATTTTTATATCTATTTATTTTCCCATTATTTCATAATTAACTATTATAATTAATTAAAAATATTTACTTATTACCTATTGTTTCTTTCATTTTAAAGTCAAGCATATCTTGAAATTTACTTTGAATTATCAAAGGCTTTTTAAAATACTGATTAAAAAATTCAATTAATGTTTTTCCCCACGATCTATTATTAATTTTCATTGAAGGTTGTTTCAGATATTCCTTTGCTGATGGTAAAATAGTTGTAAATCGAAACTGTTTCTAAAAAATATATAAAAATTTTATATACAGAACAAATTTTAATTTTAATATAAATATATTCAGTTAATATTTCATATTAATATATTCAGTTAATAATTAAATTATATCAATTAATAATTTCTGATATTTTTTTTAAAAAATAGTCCATGGTTTTTATTTTATTCCATGGTTTTATTCAAAATAACTCACTATAGTATGAGCGTAAACATTCTCAATGTATCTTCGCATAATAGTATCCGTTAATTTAGTTTGTTTATCTAAATATATTTTTTTTTTTTTTGTTTTTTTTATTTCATTCAATTCTATATTTTGAAACTCAGGAAAAACTTCTTTTTGCAATTCAGATGGTAAATCAGGTGCATACATAATTTCAGTTATTGGTGCCGGAAATAGTTCAATTGCAGGTAATTCTTCTGCAGAAGTTATCTATAAAGAAAAATTTATGTATAAAATTATATATAAAATATGATTTGAAAAAATATTAGACAAAAAATCAAATATTTAATATTTTTTCAATTTCATTTATTATTATAATATTTTTTTATATGTATACTTTTCTTCTTTTTATTGGAATTTCTATTGGAGATTTTGAAGTTCTTTTTTTAGGAGTTGCAGGAATATTTTTTTTAATATGATGATCTAAAAAATATATTTATAAAAATTATTAATATAACAGAAATATTTGTAAATGAAATAATCAAATACATTAATAAATATTAATAACTTTCAAAAATAAAAAATGATTCGGGTTGATCTCTTCCAGCAGATGCTAATCGTGTTTCTTTCTCAGTTTCAATTTCAATTTTATTAACATCTAATAAAGGAACTTGTACAGATTCGTTAGGAATTTCTATTGACTGATCCCAATGAAATCTTCGTATTTCATTTCTAAATAATAATTACAAATAATTTTAAAGATATTAATAATTAATTTAAAAATATAATTTTTTATTAACTATTAATAAAAAAATAAAACTATTTATTAATAATTATTAATAAATAAATAAAAGTAATTTTTTTAAACATATCATATTCTAATAGTTTTTTAATATTACATAATTATATAATTAACAATTATATTAAAAAGTATAATAAAAATATAATACTAATAAAAATATAATACTACAGAGATAGTTCTTCCACTCCAGGTAATATAAATTTCTCCATTTCATGAGTTGGTAACGCCCCAAAATTCATTTCATTTTGTATCTATAATTGAATAATATAAATATTATTAACTTAGTTATATAAAATAAATATATATATATATATATATATA